GATGGATGGATGGATGGATGGATGGATGGATGGATGGATGGATGGATGGATGGATGGATGGATGGATGGATGGATGGATGGATGGATGGATGGATGGATGGATGGATGGATGGATGGATGGATGGATGGATGGATGGATGGATGGATGGATGGATGGATGGATGGATGGATGGATGGATGGATGGATGGATGGATGGATGGATGGATGGATGGATGGATGGATGGATGGATGGATGGATGGATGGATGGATGGATGGATGGATGGATGGATGGATGGATGGATGGATGGATGGATGGATGGATGGATGGATGGATGGATGGATGGATGGATGGATGGATGGATGGATGGATGGATGGATGGATGGATGGATGGATGGATGGATGGATGGATGGATGGATGGATGGATGGATGGATGGATGGATGGATGGATGGATGGATGGATGGATGGATGGATGGATGGATGGATGGATGGATGGATGGATGGATGGATGGATGGATGGATGGATGGATGGATGGATGGATGGATGGATGGATGGATGGATGGATGGATGGATGGATGGATGGATGGATGGATGGATGGATGGATGGATGGATGGATGGATGGATGGATGGATGGATGGATGGATGGATGGATGGATGGATGGATGGATGGATGGATGGATGGATGGATGGATGGATGGATGGATGGATGGATGGATGGATGGANAAAATTATTTTTTTTTAACAACTTCAACACCCTGTATCTCTAAAACGAGGCCGTTCCAGACCTATGTTTATAAGGCAAACACCTATTATTTTAAAGAGATCTATCAGCCCTGGAAGTTTCCTGCATAAAATTCGGACCACCCTGTATACTCAAACCTACTACATCAGGTAATCGTCTTGCTATATTAAGCCTTCTAAATGGAACATAAAAATTATTTCTGTTTCTAGTGGAATACAGGTGGCGATCACCCTGTCTACCAAACGTATCATAATTGTCATAAATAAATGTACAGACTTCCAGCAAATATATACCGGGGAGTGTCAGTATCATCAGCCTACGAAAGATATTTCTACATGAGGTTTGATTGGTCGCCCCAATCATACAACGAACAATTCGCTTTTGGGATAAAAATACATCAGAGGTATCATCCCCAAAAGCATATACCGTACTTTAATCTGGCAAATACCTGCGCATAATAGATACACATTAATTGGCTCTGTGTAAGGACCTGCCTTACATTTCGAAAGAGAAAGCATATAGAAGTAAGCTTTGATGTAAATGCAAAACAGTGATCCTTCCAGGTCATAGTATCATCAATTATGAGACCGAGAAATTTTACACTCCTATCCTCCCCTAAAATATCATTACCGGCCTTAATATTAAGTTTAAGGTTACTACGGTTCTGAGATGTATGAAACCTCAACAGACTAGTTTTGGCACTATTTAGGTACAAAAAATTGCAATTAAACCAGTCATTTAGGTCACGAAGAGCACCATTACAAGCACTTTCTAAAATATCGTTTTCAGGTCGAGATACAATTAAAGAAGTGTCATCAGCATACAAAGTTGCCGAAACGCCGTCAGGTAAACAATTTTCCAGGTCATTCATGTACAGAAGAAACAACACAGGGCCCAAAACAGAACCCTGAGGCACTCCAACCGTAACATCCACCTGCCGAGAACATACCTCCCGAATCTCTTGACCATGCTTAGAGGTGCATTCTAACCGATTGTTTTCTATTTTTTATAAAACTAGAGATTCACGATAACGCAGATCCTATTATTCCGTATTTTTCGGACTTATACAAAAGTCTATCAATATTTACACAATCAAATGCCCTGCTGAGGTCGCAAAATATCCCAGCAGGGCACTCACCTCGGTCGACAAAATTAATCAGTTGAGTGTAAAAAGAAGTTATTGAACTATGTGTAGATATTTTAGACTGAAATCCGTGTTGTGATACTGTCAAAATATTGAATTCCTTCATAAAACTCTCCAAACGAGATCTAAAACAGTACTCAAATACTTTACTAAAAGCTGGCGATAAAGTAATGGGCCTATAATTATCAACATTATGCCTATCTGATCTTTTATATACTGGGACAACATGGCTAAACTTGAGAGCTCTTGGAAATTGGCCTGTGACAAATGATAAATTTATAAGATAACATAGAGGCTCGAGTATAAGTTCCGCCACACACTTAATGAATCTCAATGAAATCCCGTCCGGGCCCGAAGACTTTTTGTTTTATAAATTATGTCTTATGACACCAAGTACCTCGTCCTCAGTAACAGGTGCAAGAAACATACTCCCAAGTCCGTCAAAATATACATCTTCATATCTACCACAAGGCAAAATTTTACTTAACACCCTCAATGGAGCCTCTTTAAAAGAGTCCAAAAAAAGTGCGACCACATCTGAGGGATCCGTTACCATCTTGCCCTCATGTTCAACAGATATACTGACATTTCTGTCACCCCCACCGTTGCCATAGAGCGACCTCGTTACACCCCAAACAGCTTTCGAAACATTATCAGAGTTTTCTATTATGTTTTGATAAAATCTCTTTTTAGTTCTATTTACTAAACTAATGTGTTCTTTTTTTGCTTGTTTATAAGTTTATTATGAGTCAATGTTTTCACAACGTGCTTATTAGAAGAATTATGTGGATACGCCACGCCTATCGCGCATTTCGCAGCTCATGAGATTTTGAAACTACTCTACCATTAGTGTTACGCCATTGAGTCAACTACTTCCTATCTCAGATAATGTTCGACATTAATATTTTAATATAAAAGCTGATAGCGATAGTAACACACCATTGACCTTTGCGTCCAAATTTTTAGTGGCCATAAAAACTTCTAAAGCAAAGAATCTAAAAGAATTTAAAAAAATATTACTAGTCGCTTTATAGAATTTAAAGGCCAGTAATTTAAAACTATTATGTAAGATATGAAATAAGCTTTTGCACCGGCTTTCGCATTTGTTACAAAAATGTACCTACCTACCTACCATTCTTCGTTACAAAATTCTTTATACAGTGTGTCTCCGGATGGAGTACCGCACTCTTGTAAACTTTTTTATTGCTGATTTTTCGAGAAAAAGTTATTCTTGATAAAAAATTTTGCAATCCATAGATGTCACTCAGAAAAAAGTCAGAAAACAAATATTAACAGATCTCATATTCAAAGAATTATAGTATACAACAAAATTAATCCATTCAAACCAATGTTTAATCATAAATTGCTCGATGGAGATGATGGTCGTCGTTTGGACTTTTATTTAATTTATTACCTATTGTAAGAGAGAGAAATTGACTGGAAACAGATTATTTCATCGCAATATTTTATTTACTGGAGAATCAACATTCACAACTAATGGCGTGGTTTTTTCACAAAATTGTAGATACTGAGGTAAAGATAATCCAAATTTTCGATTGATAAGTAATAGCCAAAATATAAAAAAAGTAAATATCTGGTGTGGCATGATGTATCATAAATAATTCGTCTTTACTTTTTGGAACAAAATTTTAATCAAAATTCGTATTCAGAAATTCTCAATAATTTTATTTTGGCGGAACTAGATGGCAAAAATTTAGAGTTCAGAAGAAAACTAATTTTTCAACAAGACGGATACCATACACATTCCACACTTCTAGTACTACGGACCATACCGTAGTCTTCACGGTCACCCGACTTGTTCCCATTAGATTATTTCTTATACCTAAAGCAAGAAAAGTATCTTACAAATTCACATTCAAATCTAAAGCCGGATTCATACGATTGGTTATTGTGTTTGTCAATTATTCAAGTAAACCCCTGACAGAACTAATATATTTTTCAAACTGATATTTGGAAATCTATTTGCTTCACAAAAAATGTAGACCATCATTTACCTTGGCTTAAAATTAATCAAATCACTGATCTATTTCTTTACTACACACGTGTCCATAGATATAGTTGATATAATTATATGTCAGTTAAGTTTAAGTAAGCGGCTATCATGCTTATTTCTGTCATTAGATCTTTTATGACTTTCGCGAGTACCCACATGGTGGTTTACCACACAAAAATTTTATTCTTTTTATGATAACTTGGAAAGACATACCTACTTATGGTAAATAATTTTACTAACGATGAATACGTTGAAACTGCAAGTGTATTTTTTAAATGTCGGAATTTTTTTTTGTTAATAAACGGTTAGATTTAAAGCAAAAAACGTGAGAGATGAAAATTTTAAAAATAAACCAGGCTATTTGATATGCATATGTTTAAACTTTAATTTTTGTCAAACAAAAATGTTGTAGCAGAAAATAACTTACCTAGGGGATGCTTGTAAATTAATGTATTTTTTTGTATTTTGTTTTAAAGATACATTTCATTTGTTGGAAATAATATTTATAAAAATGTTTTATTATGTTTACATTTAACGTTTGTGTTATTTCTTTCTTCGTGCTTTTTGTGGCTGCAAAAACGTAGACAGAAAGAAACTTTTAAGTTACGTTTATTCACCAGTTATTTACATTTCTACAGGTAACAAATTCCCAGTTACTTGAAATTTATAAAATCAATTAACTTTAGTGACGAATTTCGAGTATTTACGTAAAACGTGGTATTTTTTATTGTAAACACATTGCAGAAAAATTGACTTTTGTCGATCGCCATCGCCATCTACCTATCATGATTCGAAAAATGTTTCAGACAAATCCTCCGTACCATAGAATTCGAATCTGCAATAAAAAATGGAAGTTCCTATTTAAGATTTAAGGTTATTGACATTTTTTCTGTAGAGTGCTTATTTCTCGAGATATTTGAAAGCTTCAGGTTAAAAAAAGCTGTTACAAACAAAAAAATATTCCACTATTATGTATAATATACTCAAAAACTGCTTATATTTTTTTGTAAGTAGGAAGGTAGGTACTTATAACATAGCTTTTTTACAAAATCTAAATCATATTACACCACCAAAAGAAGAGACTTTACATGAGAGATACAAAAAAACGTTGACTTACCCCGATCTCTTCAGATGTTCGATACTATCAGAATCAAAACTGTAACGGCTTCCTTCCGAGCACGGACTAGAAGGGGTTGAACCGCTGGAACCCAATTTCAGGCTCCCGGTACTCAACATACGATGGAACTTCAACCTGAAGGGCCTACTAGGCGACTTGGGAGGTTTCTCCTCCGTCAACTTTTCATAACCTGTCGGACTTTTCGGACTTTTTGGGCTTCCCTGCTCCATTTCGCACAGAACACGACAATTTAATAAAAGCAACCGTCAAGCAAACGACAACCGAAACACTTCCCGACAATTAAAACTGATCTAAAATTAACGCGAATTATTACCTATGTTTGGTAACGCGGCGTAGTCGACAATGAGAACTATCGATGGAACCACGCCGGTCGAATTTGTTTCCACAGGCGACTAAGTGACAATTATGAAAATTAGCGAATTTAACAGAACACCAGCAAAACACACACAATTTTGCGACGTATTTCACGGAATTATATCTATTAAATAAACGGACATAAAACGGATATTTTAACTTGTGATATGGCTTAGTTGGACATCCGGTGGTGGTGTACCACGTCCGCGTTTTTTAATATTCCATCCAGCCTAATATAGGTGGATATCCAGCGATGAAACAATACGTTTTCTGCTGCCAGATCATAGCAAGGCAGATTATGCTGGCAAATTCATTGTTGCCAATTACAATCGATTTTAATTAAAAATGTTGTTTGGTTATTATGTGGCTAATTGCCGGCTAATAGGACACGAGACATGAAATGATATCAGATAAGGGTGGAGCCTTCCGGGAATCAATTCGCTTTTATCAACAGATATTTAACATGGGCAGTTATCGAAGCCCATATCGAAGTGTTATTAAATTATTTCGATGCTTTTAAATAAAATAAATAACCTTTATTTTCTTTAGAGACTTTATAATAAAGTATGGGAATAGTCAATAAAAGAAAAAAAAAGAGGAAAGCCATAAAATCTTATACTGAAAGAATTCAATAATGTTACATATTTGTCAATTAAATAATATTTTAACCTAAATTTAAACCTAGCGAGGTTCTCAATAATTTTTATTTCCAGAAGTAAATTATTAAACACATTAGACACATTATAATTACTATAAGCCACACAAAAAGTATTCCATTGTCATTGTCTAGTAGTATACAGGGTGAGTCAGTTTTTTGTAGACAAACTTTAACAGGAGATAGAACACATGTTTTTAAAAAGAAAAGTTCCTATAAATATATGTCGTAGAAGGCTTCGTTTCTGAGATACGGGGTGTTGAATATAATTTTTGTTTCTCGAATATTCGTTATAACTTATAAACGAATGCTTAGATTTTTTTCATGTTTGGGAGTTAATGCCTATTAATTAAGGGGCATAAAACAAGCGATAAAAATGTTCAAAAACTTGCACAGTGGCGGAGTGGAGGGGGTGCTCAACCCCTTTCTTAAACAGAACTTCTACGCCAATGACTATTTTTTAAAAAAACTGTTATTTTCATTATCTACATACAGTTTAACAAAAATAATGTCCCTTCTTCTGTTTCGAAATTCCTGTGCGTTTCCGAGTTATTTTGATTTTTAGTGTTTGTTGTGGTACTAAATTAAGTAATTTATTTATTATCAATTATCGGCTAAATATTTAATTCTTTCAACGAAACCTACCTAAATATGGTTTGTTAAGGATTCTAAAAAGCCGAAATCTCTTATTCTTTATCTCTTTCCAATGTAGTCAAAATAAATATTTGTTATATCAAGCTATACTCAAATACAAGACTTTTATAAGTTGAAATCTGTTACATTACATACATACAATACATTATTGTGCAGTTGCCAAAAAGTTTTAAGAAGTTGTTAATTAAATATTGTTATAAATTCAAAAAATTTCTCCATAAACATTAACATCAATGTTCATTCAATTTTTTTTTTTGTAATTTAGTTGCAGTACATTAGTATTTACGCAGCACATAATAAATAAGGATTGTTAAAATTAGTGTATTAAACAGATTTCAACTTATAAAAGTCTTGTATTTGAGTATGGCTTGATATAACAAACATTTATTTTGACTACATTGGAAAGAGATAAAGAATAAGAGATTTCGGCTTTTTAGAATCCTTAACAAACCATATTTCGGTAGGTTTCGTTGAAAGAATTAAATATTTAGCCGATAATTGATAATAAATAAATTAATTTAGTACCACATCAAACACTAAAAATCAAAATAACTCGGAAACGCACAGGAATTTCGAAACAGAAAAAGGGACATTATTTTTATTAAACTGTATGTAGATAATGAAAATAACAGTTTTTTTTTAAATAGTCATTGGCGTAGATGTTCTGTTTAAGAAAGGGGTTGACCACCCCCTCCACTCCGCCACTGTGCAAGTTTTTGAACATTTTTATCGCTTGTTTTATGCCCCTTAATTAATAGGCATTATCTCCCAAACATGAAAAAAATCTAAGCATTCGTTTATAAGTTATAATGAATATTCGAGAAAAAAAAATTATATTCAAACCCCGTATCTCGGAAACGAAGCCTTCTACGACATATGTTTATAGGAACTTTTCTTTTTAAAAACATGTGTTCTATCTCCTGTTAAAGTTTGTCTACAAAAAACTGACTCACCCTGTTTGTATGCAAAGTACAACTTTGCTAAAATGATTTTTATTATTGAAAAAGAAAACACAATTCAAAGATGTAAAGACTTGGAAGCGTAAATATTTTATATTCTTGCGGTATATCTAAAGGCGGGTATCCATTTGTGTCAAAGGCCCCGTAACGTAACACCGAACATGTTACGTTACAGCTAGTGGAGACGGAAAATAATTGTTACATGGTACATACGTGTAACAAATTTGACACGCGTAACTAATCCGGGACGAACCATCAGTTATCGGTTTTTAGTGGTCGCATTATAAGGATGCAACAGTACGTTCTGCCACTTGTTGAGACGGGGTTACCCTTTTGGCCGTAACGTTACCTGTTGCACATGTGATTTTGTCTTATTTTTTGTTTCGTCAGTTTTTTTGTATATGGTCTGGGGTCAGTCTGTTTTCTGCACTGACTAGGAAGAGTGTATTTTTATGTGTTTGTGCCATGGAATGGAGTAAAGAAAAGATTTCCGGAGATTTCCGTTTCTTATTCTTCAAAATTGTATGTTGAATAAAAATATATGACGCTGCTGCTAACTGCAATTGCAGTGACGAATCCATTATTGCAGTCAGGTTCATACTGCAAATTTATGTTCCCGTGTCGTCTCGTAACCTTATTTTGTTACGTTGCGGAATGAATGATACGACCAAAACCACACATACTTTCGCAGCGAACCGTGTCACCTTTTGCAACAGGTCGTAACATGTTCGTTGTTACGTTACGGAGCATTGCCACAAGTGGATACCCGCCTTTACATTTAGAAATGGAGACATCATTTATGTTTAGATCTATCCCTACACACTGCTTCTGCCAATTATGTAATCTTATATAATGAGTTTTATTGACGTTAAATTAAAGAGAATATGCTGCGTACCAATTTGCAACGTCATATTATTACACTTGTAAGGACTCATCTATTGCATGTAAAGTTAACAAAGACGTATCATCATTATACATTGTTAAACAAGCGTTATCAACTATTTTGGCGAAATCATTAACATAAAGCAAAAGCAATATGGGACCCCCAAATTCGAACCTTATAGGGCCCCCAATTTAAGAGAAGCATGCTCCGAATTTATTCTATTTGTAATTCCATCTAATATTTTGTGATCGACCCAATCGAATGCTCTACTGAGGTCACAAAATAGTCCAACAGGGCACTCCCCAGCATTTCTTGTGCACCAGTACAAATTTTCCGATTTTTAAACTTGATGGAAAGATACTTGCTTCAAATGATAGATTCACAAGAAATGTCAGTGGTTCTATTTCTCGTTATCATTTTTTTCACAACACAAATTAATAAATCATACTAAAATAAAGAAACCTTTTCTCTTAGTAGCAGGGAAAGTAATTAAATTTTCATATCTAATTTCCAAAATGCTCAGTGGTGTCGAAACTCTGGTTGTTCTTAGTGACAGTATCTTCCAAAACTAGTCGACACCAGTTCAGCACATTGTGTCTCGAAAAGCAGTGGCTTTAAAATTTGCAATTACCTAAAGTTTTGTCATGGACTTAGAAACTCCCATACACAGGGTGATCTAGAAATGAGATTAAAAAATTAGGAAAAGAGGGAACGTAGAAAAATAAGACAATTATTTACCATCGGAAGTGGTCGGTCGTCTTCGGCTTTTGAGATGTAGTGTCAAAGATGACAAAAAATGTATTGCATTGAAATTTGATACAAGTAACTTTTTGTGGGTGCTAAATGTTTGTTTTTTATTATCTCCTAAAAGCTTCTAGCTACTAGGTATTTCTCCCAGTACCATTTTATGACCCAACATTTTTGAGGTCAGAAATTTCATTTTACACAAGGAAGTCACTCTCGTTAAATCGGCGAAAACGCATATTTTTGAGCTGAAGCTTCTATTTCTTAGTATTTATAATGGAACCGATTTAGATTAAATTATCCTTAAAAATTGGATGTCCTTAAAAAAATATTTCTTTCAAGTTCATTTGAAGAATCTAAATGGGTGGTTAATAATATCAACAGTGGCATATTTAACACCTTCATCAACTTACTGGAACCTTTCAATACGATACATTCTTTTGTGCTATCTATGAAAGGAACAAAGATATTGGAAAGGAAATAAAAATGTGATTGGAAAGAAAATAAAATTTAAAAAAATCATCTTTGGCAACCTGTATCTTAAAAACAAAAAACGAAATAAAAATGTGATTGGAAAGAAAAATAAAATTTAAAAAATCATCTTTGGCGACCTGTATCTTAAAAACAAAGGACGATGCTCCTGGTCCGTAGGAAAAACGTCGTGACGTATCACCCCCTAAAGGACCCCGCACAAACCTTGTGGGAAATGCCTCCCGGTTAAATTGACTGAATTTTTTATATGTTACTTGTCTCGGCATCCTGAACAATTGCGTCATGGGCGCAAACCCCAAAACTCCAGGGGTTCCGAGATAAACCCAGCTAACCCCTAGAAACCTACCAAACCACAAGCAGGCTAACCCACGTAACCCCGAGAACAGCGAGTTTAGTCGCTTGTTGAAATAATTAAATTCCATACCACAAGCATACTAACCCACCTACCCCCTATCCCACTTAACCCCTAGCTTATTTTTCTTGAAATAATTAAATTCCACACGACAAGTATGCTAACCCGCCTACCCCCTAATCTATCTAGCCCTTAGAAACCACCTCTACCAAACCACAAGCAGGCTAACCTACCTGACCCTGGGAACAGCGAGTTTAATCGTTTATTTTTCTTGAAATAATTAAATTCCGCACTACAAGCGGGCTAACCAGCCTACTTCCTAGCCCACGTAGCCCTTAGAAACAACCCCTACCAAACCACAAGTAGACTAACCCACCTGACCCTGGGAATAGCGAAATAATTAAATTCCACACTACCCGCCTACTCCCTAGCCTTTAGAAAACCACACCTACCAAACCACAAGAGTGGTTTGTAGTAGCTTATGGTGCGGAATTTAATTATTTCAAGAAAAATAAGGCACTAAACTCGCTGTTCCCATTGTTACGTGGGTCAGCCTGCCTGTGGTTTGGTAGGTTTCTAGGAGTTAGGTGGATTTATCTCGGAACCCATGGAGTGTTGGTCTTCGCGCCCATGAAGGCTTTTGTTTAGGACGCGGAGATATGAAATATATAAAAAATTCAGCCAATTTAACCGAGAGCCATTTCCCATCAGTTTTGTGTCATTTCTAGATCACTCTATCTTTAAACTATAGATATTTTAACAATATTTTAAAAGTTCTAAAATAAGTTGTAAATGCGTTCTGCTTCTATTAACACACACAGCACACAGTATGTATTTTTTAGAAAAATAGATTTATTTCATATTATCCCATTATATGTATGTATGAGAAAATCAAACAATAACATTTTCCTAATCAATTTGAACTGTTATGTGAAACTGATCGTCAAACGTCATTAGATAACAAATATTAACCAAAATACGTTTCGTACAAAAAGTGATAATTAATTTGATGCTAATGAAAACAGTAATGGAAACAGTAATGGAAATATAATTATAGAGATATTTTCTATATTTTCTTAAAAAACAGGTCAAGGTCATTGCTTAGTAAAACACTTTTTGGAGCTTTATTAACATTAACATTAGGAAAAAATATGCAGCATATTTATCTGACGTACCATTTTCTTCCGGTACGGCTTTGATTAAATACATGTTACTTATACAGAGCATTTCGAAACTAATGGGGAATTTTCCACTAACTACCACCACAGAAAATAAGCGAAAAAGTTTATATGAACATAGAAGGGAAATGATTAACAAGTCAACTACAGCAGCGACTGTAGCAATTAAGAGAAAGATGAGCCCAGAAAATTCCAGATATTTCCGAAAAAATAAGTGGACGAAACAGAGGAGCAGATTTTGAATATTTTGATCCGATGAATATAAATCCAAAGTATGAAGGAACTCTTCTATAAAGCGGTTTTCGAGGTATCAAACCGAGTTATGTAGATTGCAAAAACATTGGAATTCATTATCTCACTGCACGATAACCCCAAAACTCTATAACCTCATAACCCTATAACCCTATAACCCCATAACCCTATAACCCCATAACCCCATAACCCTATAACCCCATAACCCTATAACCCCATAACCATATATCTCCATAACCCTATAACCCCGATCACCCTATATCCCCATAACCCTATATCAACATAACCCTATACCCCTATAACCTTATAACCTAGTAACCTTGTAACGCTGTAAACCCGCAACATTATTTGCCTCAGGTCATGGGTTTACAGGAGCTTACATGCTCAGGGTTAACATTGCGTTTTTCGCACTTTTAGGTTAGGATATCTCGAAAGCGTAACATGATGGAGCAATTCTGAAGTCGGATTCGGATTACGCAAAAAATTACTTCAGAAATGACCCTCAGCTGCTCTAGAACTAACACAACCACTTTCTTGGAGATCTGTATTATTTCACTTCATATCAGTTAAATAGACCTTTTTTAGTAGTGACGTCAGATACGCCAAATAATAGGCAACCCCATGGTGCACATTGTCATGAAGAATTTCTCAATATTTTTACTAGATCGAGTTCGCCGCGCCATTATTCCATGGCTAGAAATTGGCCTCAATGATTTGGGATCGATGGGGATGATCCCTCTTTATCCTGCCTCATCTCGTGTAGGCCTGGACAGCCTTCGTAGGTGGGCCCCATCCGTCGTCTACCCCGACCGCAAATGCGGCCAGTGTAGGCGCTTTGTGGGACCTCCTTTTGTCCTGGCTGGGCCTCGCCGGCTAGGGCCCTTTCTTCTGGCGCTCTTCTTACTTCGCCGGCTACTAGATCGAATTTCTACCTATGGACATAAGTTCAAAAAAATGGCTTCCTTATCATGACCTTAAATATTGCGATATTCTGAAAATATTCAAATATTTAAAAAGTTTCAAACACCAAGTGACAAACTAATAGAATTATAGAATTTATATATTTAAATTTGTAGAACAATATTGACTTTTATAATAATTAATAAACTAAAATTATATCAATGTTACTGAGCATGCGCATTAAAGATGATTTCATGTAAGCGAAGTAGCCACGTAACAGGATATCATTCAAGAAAAGTTTGGTTATGGTTAAGAGTACGTCTATGTACACCACTTGAAGAAGAAACACTCGATAAACACTGACACAATACAACACCAAGAAAAACAATAACAATACTTAGCAGAACTAGAAAATGCCAAGACTAAACAAAACAAGAGAAAATATGGTAATGATGACAGCGATAACATATCAATATAAGACCTTACCACGTATGAGACTATTCTTTCCGAGCATGAGCATTAGGAATAACTAATGTTAAGTTTTTACTTTATTTAAATTTGAGAATATTCTTTTAAATCGTTTTCTGTAAATTTTAAGCTCATTAGTGTATCTATTTTACGAAACACGTGTTGGTTGGTCTTAAATACTTCCAAATCCCTGTAAAAATAAATTAATTTGAAGTTGTTCATTTTTTAGTATCTATGTAAATAGCACACAAGGGTCAGATTCGGTCTTAACAATTTCAACTATGACAATTTGTTGTGGGTTGTCTAAATATGTGATATGATATCACACTAAAAGAGTCTATTGGGCACTGTTCCATTATTAAATCATCAACATCAATGTATACTGGGGAATTATTTCGAATTCGGACAATCCTGGTCTATTGTTTTCTTTATTGCAGGTTTTCAATTTTGGAAAACTAAAACTAAATTTTAAAATTATCATAAGAATAACGGAATAACTACAATACGTCCATAATTGAATAAAGCAAAACAGGAAATTAAAGCAAAATTCTCTGACCTTCTAGAAGTTCTAATCGGAATGGCATGATTTCAAGAATCATAAGTGTCTCCAAGCCAGCTGACTGAGTGAAATGCAAGAATTATTTTTTTGCAAATAAGTTGAAACCTCATATTTACAACTTTCTTAATAATATTCTAACAATATTTCTTATATCAGTATCAATTTTTCGATATTTCATAATGTTGGGGTACTTTGTATACAGCTATTTCTAAGTTATTCTAAATATTGGACACCCTGCACATACTATAAAATTAAGAAAATAGTAACATTTTTTGATGTAAGAACAAGACATTTTCTTATAGAAATTAACATTTTCTCATAAACATAAATAGAAAAAGTTTTCTCTCTTCGGATCACATCCTGTGACACAAATGATTATTTCGAATTTTTACATTTAGTTAACTGTCGGTTATTCTAGTCTGATAAATATTTTTTAAATGGAACATTTCAGTATCTAAGATATTAATTTGAAAAGTATTGTTTTCGCAGTAAAAACGCTCAAGTATTTTTCAGCTTACAAAAAATTTTGAAAATAATTAAGAGAAATTGTTACAGAAGTTTTTTTTTCAAAAAATGTGGAACGCTTCACGATTTTGCGTGTCATCCTTGCGCAGGGGCCATGCTAATCTTCTCTGTATCGTTCCAATTTTAGTATATGTACCGCCGAAGCGAGTACAACAAATTTGTTCATAACGTGATATTTGTAGTTAAGAGTCGTAAATGAATATGGGTGAGATATAACGCTTCCATTTTTTACTTTTTAACAAAATTAAATGAATATTTTTAATTTAATTAAATTATTTCATAAATTTAAAAAAAATATATTATAAGCTATAATTAATTATAATTATTTTTTCAATATATAAGTATAAGTTTAAAAAATTAGTAATGTGGTGCCATCTATGAGTATATCGCGTAAATTACTGGTCACCTTGCGCGGGATTGTGCTGGCAAAATCGATGAGGATTCCCGTGCCGTGCCCAGTTTTGTAGAACTTCCACTTCAGTGCAAGTGAAGTGCAGCTGAATAGTGTTCTGTGATACATCTAGGTAAATCTTTTAAACATTTTTAAAACGTATATTTTATTAATAAAAAATAACTAACTGAATGTAATATTTTGCATATGGTTCAATATATGCGTAAAATATCCTTAAATACTTATCAAAATCGTTTAATTTGAATAGAGTTACATAACGAAATTGGACTAGGCATTTAACAATTTATAATTCTTTTATATTCTTGACCACTTTTATTTTGTGGTTTTTATATAACTAATATAAAGAATTTTTTATGATTCCTGTGCTTAAAGCTCCTCTGCTCCACTAAGTAATTGAAAGTAATTTAAATTAGGGGCGTTTTTTTATATACAAATGTTAAAGGGTATATTTTTTAGTAAATAGATAAGTATAGGTATAATAAAAAAAATAATGTCCTAGGGTAAAATTGGGTAAATTTAGTGTGAAGTGAACCGATTTTAAATGAATCACGTGTAATGTGTGAAGTTGCAAATTGCGTCACCAGTAATTAATGATATCAAAGGTTGGATTGGCCTCGAGGTGGTCTAGTTGTCTACGTCTGCAACGACCACGTGGAGACTTATCGGAAATTTGATAAAAAAAAATTTTGTTAACCCAGTGATAGTGATTTAGAGGTTATTGTCACTTGTTTTAGGTTATCTCTTGATCTTAAGGTGATTTTTGAACAATTTAACAAATTATTTACTAAAAACGATCATCCATAAGCTGATTGCACATTATTGCATCAACCAATCATCAAAGAAATAACAAATTTTATACTTGTTACAAATAAAATGATTTATTAACTATTCTGTTTGCAGTTTAATATTAAATAAAAGAAATCCAACATGGGTGTACCAGCTGGTGATGTCGAAAAGGGAAAGAAGATTTTTATCCAAAGATGTGCTCAGTGTCATACAGTGGAAGCCGGTGGAAAACATAAAACAGGACCTAATCTGAATGGACTGATCGGAAGGAAAACTGGCCAGGCTCCTGGATTCAGTTACACTGACGCCAACAAAGCCAAAGGTAATTAAATATATTTAATAAGAACTGACACGAATTTGTGACTTAACGTTATATAATTTCAAGACCATTGCAGTTTTTATTAACATTTTCTTATACAATTTAGTAGTGATTACTTATACATTTCCAATACATTTTTGGTGGTAAGTTAATGCCTGTATGGTTTAAAAAAGATATCTATAGTAATTTCAAAATCTTTAATTCTAAATTCTTAGGTTTTTAATATAAATATTTAACATAGTTACCATTTTAGAACTCCGGTTGGATTTATAAGTTTGTGGAAGTAGGCTGTGCTTTTTAAGGTTATGTTGAACAATCCGATAATAAATTAAAAAACAAAAAAATATATAGATGTGCACTAGTTGATTGGTTTACTCTATGGTTTAATTAGCGTTGTTATGTAACGTCATCAGCCCACCCATATTTCAGGAGTTCTTTAGCATCTTTTGCATAAAAAATAAGCAAACTGTGTTATTTTAATCACAAAAGACTAACTAGAGGTCAGTTCTTAAAATACTTATTGCTTCATAAGCTCAGCATTATAAATAAAAATAATAATTGTTCATGTATTGTCTAAAACGCTTATAGTTGATTGATATATTATTTTTATCTTCTCTAATAATTTGTTTTTGGAAATTTCTGATGTCTATTAGTTTATTACAAAAAGTTGATATAATATATATTTTTTTAATAATTTGCCCATTTAAGTAGGTATTCATTTTTTTTTTGTTACATTTGCTTGTTTTATTTTAGACTACATTTCACAGAACAATCAATCAGTATCAAAAAAATAAATCGGTAATAATTAAAAAAAAATACTTTTATTTTAGTAGCAGAATAGGTAATAAAATCAACATTTTTTTAATATTAAAATTCTTGATTCTGCTTTGACCTACTGCTGATGAAGTTTCCCTGAAGTTGAAATTTACGTTTATCTCTTAACCCCTTTACATACATAGATTATCTCTCGTTGATTTTATCTAAATACATATTTGTACATCTTCATTAATCACCCGCAATTTATAAAATACTTAAATACCATATATATTATCTCAGAACTGAAGATTACGTCAGAAGATAATAACTTTTAACTTTACTTAAAAATAAGTCATATCATATACATTTTTATCTGGTTTAACAGAAAGATAGAATAATCCAGATTTTTCTTCAATAGGTATAACAATTATTCTCATCCTTTTATTTTGCTCCATATAACAAATGTGTAATGGTTCACTTCAAACAGATAAAATGCTGATTACACACAATTCAAATTCAGATATGTAAGACCAAGCATAAAAACCCATAGTGGGCAAACTCTGGCATAACTCAGATAATCAGAAGCTTCAGTAATTGGAGACTCGGATAAACCGGACTGACATTCTTCAAATATTTGATATATTATTTTCTATAATATTTTTAACTGTAAATACCACTTCTTAGCAAATGCTTTCCGTGATAGTATAATATTTGTGTGAATACATATTTTCTAGTATTTTTGTATCTAAATATATTGGTACATGTTTTCTGTGACAGATAATTTGTGCAAATACATATTAATTGCAATTTTACTACTACTACTATATGTACGAGTATATGTTGTGGATTGTAGTGAAGTATTTGTAATATTAAAAATGTGCAGTTCTTGTTACTTTTTGTACTATTTTCCGTTAATATACCAATGAATAAAAATCATGATAAACATGCCTCTGAATTAGAAATTTTAATTTTGTATTATATTTTACACATACTTTTCATTGAATGTGTTAATATATTTAGTAAATGTTTTTTTTATTACAGTTTGCCTTATGTTAAAATAGGTAACAAAATTTTTGTTTCGGCATAGAAATTATTGTCGCTTCATGAGCTATAAAATTTGCTTAAATATTTATAAATGTATAGTTAAAGAATGAAAATATACACATTTTGGCAAACAGTCAAACGTACTGGTAATGGAATGTCCAACATTACTCGTGGAAATTTGGTCTAATAAATTTATAGTAAATAAATGGAATTTTATGTTTTTCATGACAATTCTTACTTATGTATATTATTTCTCTGAACTGATTGGAGTAACTTTCCAACCACAAAGTTGTAATAATTTATTGGGTAGGTACTAAGAATCTAACAGAATATGATTTCTTCAAACTCTGTAAGTAATTTGAATGTATTTTCATATAAAAAAAAATAACAATGGTAAAGGTTTTAAAGTAGTTCATAAAATATTTAATTTGTGCATATTCATACACTGTGGTCAGTGTAGTGGATAAATTCATTTTCTAAGGTATTATTTTTGAATAAAAATCTTGAAATATGTGAAATTTTAAACAAAAAAGTTGATGATGTAACATCACATTTAAAACAAATATAAATTCTCTATTCAGCAATATAATTTTGTTTAATTCAGTTTTGAAAGAGATATTAGAAACATATACAGGATGAGCCACCAGTAACGCCTCGGTGGCTAGGGATCAAACGGCAAATGCAAACCTGTTTAGGTGGGTATGTAATATTTTAAAAATATTTTGAAATATACAGGGTGTCCAGGAAAAGCATACCATATCAAAGTTATGTATTTTTAAATGGAACACCCTGTATTTTACTGCATTTTTGAAAGCACCATAAAAAAATAGGTGAACTTTATTATAAGGTTCTGCATACCTAGGACTTATTGAGATATTTAAATTTTAGTGAAAATGCAGGCTTAGCGTAGAAATTTAATATTAGCAATAAAAAAATAATTTTAAAGAAGCAGCTTTGGAGTGTATTTTAGATCCTTACGTAATTGGGAAAAAGGCAGAAATGCCTGAAAGATGTCCAACAATTACAAAATATCTTATTTTCTTAATAAAAAACCTACTTTTCGTTTTTTAATATTATCTCGCTTATTGTTAGAGATGGATCCAACAAGCCATATATGACTGTGCTCGGCAAGGAACGTTCTATCCAAATACGTAAAAATATACAGGGTGTTCCATTTAAATTTACAAAGTTAACATCCGAGGCGATTTTGTTTGAACTTCATTTGTTTTTCTACTATCATTTTCAAAAACTTCATAAAAAAATTGTGCAACTTTTGTATTTCACATTTCTTTATAACTCTTAAAACAAAAAAGTTAAAGGGGGGTCAAAATATAGTGAATCACCCTGTACAGGGTGTTAAAAAAACTGGTGAATACTTCTCTCAACTTTAAATAGCAATAACTTGGTTATTTTATATGGGACACCCAGTATATTTTTACTTTGGAAGTTAGGAAATTTAAAACTCTTTCAAACTGTGTATAGGTATAGGTGTAACGGTATTGGAAATATTTGTGCCATTTCGTTTTTTATTGAATTTTTTTGAAATGTTTGTAAATAGTAATAAATGGATAAGAATGGTGCATGTCAGTGGCCACCTAGGTATCCAGACCTCACCGTTTAAAATGTAGCCGTAATCAACCTACTCATACCCACCTAAACAGGTTTCTATAGTATTTGCCGTTTGGTCGCTAGCCACCGAGGCGTTACTGGTGGCTCACCCTGTATAAAAATCAGAGCCTCCAAAACGTCTTCAAATATTAGATTTTTTAACATCCTGTATTTCATTATCCTGAAGATTTTGCTGTTTCCCTCATAGTCCATACCAGATGTTTAAATTTCACTGGACAGAAAATCTTCCTAATGAAATTTTGCTTTATAAAATGTAATTTAAATAGCCATAATTGTACATATAAAAAAGTTACATGCATACATAGAAATCAAAATATCAATTTTTCGTAAAAATGTTGTAATAAATGGAATACAAAATTCTACTACTGTGTCTTCTGGAACACGTTTAAATTTTCTAAAAACTTTTTCTGGGTAATGAACAGACTGAATTTATAATCTCGATCTCCTTAAAATGAGGCGTCATATAGTAACTAGAAGATTTTTTCAAAAATAAAAGCTGATTTTTTTTTAAATCAACACCTGGGAAAATGAACACGATTATGGATCATATTGAACAATTTTATTAGTGTCAGTATTATGGTCTTGTGGAAGATTTCTATAAAAAGAAAATGGATATACTTATGTATAATTTAATTTTTTGTTCCAGGTATTACGTGGAATGAAGATACCTTATTCGAATATCTAGAAAACCCTAAAAAATACATCCCAGGAACAAAAATGGTCTTTGCGGGCTTGAAAAAACCTCAAGAACGGGCAGACCTTATTGCTTACTTAAAAGCGTCAACTAAGTGAACGGCAAAGCAATAAACGTGTCTTTGTGTAAATTAAATGTTACGGTATATCAATTATTTATTAGTTTTATAAGCATTCTCGATATAGTTTTAATACATGAGCGACAAATGTTATTATATATCGTAATTTTAATTTAGCCAAAAACAATGATTTTCGTAGTATTTTCATCTAGTGTTGAAGTTGTTATCACATAACAAGCTGGTGAAATACATGTACAAACTAGCCAATTTTTAAACGTAAATTATTTTCTTTATCAAAATGTATCACCTCGTAACATTGTACAATATGACCTAGACAATTTTATTTATACGGTTGTGTCACGTTACCGGATCATATACCATAATAAATTATTTATGAAAATTTTACCTTGTTTTTGTTTCAAGCAGATATCGAAGTGATAAATATTCTCTGAAAATTGTGTTCACTATAAGTATAATCAAATATTTTGTCAAAAAACTCATAGTGGAAACTAATAATAATGTGGGAAATTACACTGTCTATGTACGCTAGCTACTCGGGCTTCAACTATATTCTTGTCAGTCTGTCCTTGGTGAGACGACCAACAAATGATTAACTATTTAGATTTCTATGTACAGACAAGTTTCGAGTATTGGTGAGATACAGGGTAGGAAAGTACCGATGGTCTATCTGAAGTTAAGTGAGAGCGGTAAAGTAAGCCATAGAAATCCATGCGATAGAGAAGAATGGCTATAATGAAGGCCTCTCATAGTCACCGCCCGTTTTGCCCTTCCACAAATAAGATCCGCTTCTTATTTGTGGAAGGGCGAAATGGGCGTTGACTATTAGACGCCTTCATTATAACCATCCTTGTCTATCACATGGATTTCTATGGCTTACTTTATCGCTCTCACGTAACTTCTGATAGACCATCGGTACTTTCCTACACTGTATAACCTGCGAAGCATATGTAATTAAATGTCATTACTATTTTACGTTGTCGTGCAGCGCGTGTTATAGATGAGGCCCCATGTCTGCCACACCCCAGCTTATAAAAAGTGACTACAGCCACAGTGATGTCAGTTAGCCGGCAGCTGCGGTTCAGGACAATCGGTCTCCGATAGTGCTTCAGAGCAATTAGTCACATATCGAACTGAAGTCAATTCTTTACATTAACTCTTTCGCTGCGCAATACATCTGAACGTAGCTACGACGCCGTGCACGAAAGTTTACCGCGTGCAAATATACTCGTCTTCAGCAGTTGGGGGTCATCCATAAATTACATCACACGTAAATGGGGAGGGAGGGTATCACCGAAATGTGACAATGTGTGACAAGGAGCAGGGGGGTCAAAAGTTTTGTGATGTCACATGTTAAAATTTAAAATACTAAAACGCGAAATTTAGATGTGAATAAATAACTATAAAAATCTACGAACTTGATCTATATTTATTAATAATTTAGCATTCTCGCTATCTGAAATATTGGACTTTATGTTGATTTTATTAGATTATTTAATAAAAAAAAAGTAAAAAATGAAAATAGCTGTTTTCTCTTGATTATTTTTAAATACATGCCTAAATTTAAAAAATGTGTGACGTTACATCAGGAGGGGGGATTATAATAATGTGACAACCTGTGACAAGTACAGGGGGGAGGGGTTGGTTCAAAAGTCCTCAAATTCGTGTGACGTAATTTATGGATGGCCCCTTAGACTACATATATTTTTACATTATGTTGTGTTAAATTAAATTAAAATATGTTTAAAGGTTTCAAAATAATTGTAATAGTTTAGTTATTAATATTTTATTATAAATCATCCATTACTACGCTGCTCAATCTCAAACTCGTTGCCGCCATCGCTCCTCGCTAAAATTTCTTCCAGTTCTCTGTCAATTTTCTAGATATTTTTACGATTTTATTTTAAATAAAATATGATATATCAACAACCGTACTAAATAGAAACTGAAAAAGAGATGAACAATTTTGGCATTATTACCAGTAAAAATAATTGCCACAATCGCTATAAGCTCCGCCCGCAAAAATTCCCTACCAATTGCAACAACTGAGTCGCTAATGTGCATGGTTGGGAATATACAGGGTGTTTTTAAATGATGTAGCAAAAATGGTACCAGTGAATGTAGAGCCAAAAATAAGAGGATTGAAGTAAAAATACCATATATGAAAGTTGCACCCCTGAGGCGATATACCCTCTTAAAGGAGGGGATTGAAATTCACATTTTAATTTTTTAATAAAGAGACAAATTTTTGAATATTTGTTCGATCATTGGTGTATTTCATAAAGGAGTGAAACAGTCAACCCCGTTGCAATATTTTATTAGAAATTTTTTATATGAAGCAAATTATTTATTTAAAAATATTTACTGGGAAGACTGATTTATTGCGCAACTTTTTTACCTCTTGTAATTTTTCGATAAAACCGATAGTATTCCAGTACAAAAATTAGATGCGTCATCGTTCACTAAAGGGATAATTGCAAAAATTTGTAAAAATTAAATAGACGGACGTCATAACAAATAAATTGTTATTTATCATATTAATAAATTGACACTTTCTGTCAACCCATAATTAGTACCAATTGATTAATTTATTATCAGAATAATTATGGCAAATAATATTTATACCAATGACGAGTATGTCGACATGCTCCAAGTGTTTTTCGAATGCAGAAAAAATAGTAATGCTGTAGTAAGGTTACACCACCAAAGATATCCAAACCGGCCGATTTCTCATAGACAAACATTGGTCTCAGTGGAAAGAAAGCTTTGCGAAACTGGTAAAATTCAGCCCAATCGTGAGGGTGCCGGAAGAAGGCGTAATGTCCGAACTGTTGAAACTGAGGAAGCTATAATGGAATATCTAGAACAAGACTGTGGTACAAGCACAAGACAGGTGTCCAGGCAACTGCAAGTTTCTCACAGTCTTGTGTGGAATGTAGCTCATGAAAAATCTTTTATACCCTTTTCACAATCAACCCGTGCAACAATTGAATGACCCTGATTTACCTAACCGCATGGATTTTTGTCAATATTTCCAGGCATGACAAATTTCCTTATGAATATACTTTTCACCAATGAAGCAAATTTTCCTAGAGTAAGTGCAGTAAACCATCATAATGTTCATTCATGATCGGAAGAAATACTCATGAAATATTTGTTTCAATGTCAACATAATTTCAGTTTAAACGTTTGGATGGGAATTGTAGGAAATACTCTAGTTGGTCCTTTTATTCTTCCACACAGGTTTGGAGCGACCGAGTATCTTAGATTTTTGAACGAAAATCTTCCAACATTACTTGAGGATGTACCCCTCGCTACACGTCAGGTGATGTGGTATATGCACGATGGGGCGCCTGCACATAGTACACTTGCCGTTAGAGAATGGTTAAATTTAAATTACCCGAATCGCTGGATTGATCATGGTCGTAATGCCCCTGTTTGTTCGCCTGCACGTTCACCTGACCTAACGCCTATGGATTTCTTGTTGTGGGGACACATAAAAGTATTGTTTATGCCACTCCTGTTGCCTCCTTAGAAGAACTAAGCTTAAGAATATTTCAGGCAGCAGATGACTTTCACAATAACCAAGAACTGTTTGTGCGAGTGCATTATAACTTCAACAGACTTATTAGGTTATGCTTGCAGCAAAATGGAAATTATTTCGAGAATGTTCTTTAAATTTAATTTTGCATTTCTTGTTTTTCGTTTGTATTAAATTTTATTTCAGATAAATAACTTTACCTAATACATGTCCCATAGTTATAAGTTATCAAACATTTTTCATTAATTAATAGCAAATTATTCTTAATGTTATTATTCAATTATCAGCTTATTGACAGAAAGTGTCAATTTATTAATATGATAAATAACAATTTATTTGTTATAACACCCGCCTATTTTATTTTTACAAATTTTCACATTTACCCCTTTAGTGAACGATGACGCATCTAATTTTTTTACTAGAAAACTATCGGTTTTATCGAAAAATTACAAGAGGTAAAAAAGTTGCGCAATAANTATTGACAGAAAGTGTCAATTTATTAATATGATAAATCATTTTTTTTTACAAATTTTCGTATTTACCCCTTTAGTGAACGATGACGCATCTAATTTTTTTACTAGAAAACTATCGGTTTTATCGAAAAATTACAAGAGGTAAAAAAGTTGCGCAATAAGTCATTCTTCTCAATAAATGTTTTTAGATAAATAATTTGCTTCATATAAAAAATTTCTAATAAAATATTGCAATGGGGTTGACTATTTCACTCCTTTATAAAATACGCCAATGATCGAAAAAACATTGAAAAGTTGTCTCTTGAATAAGAATGCATAACTCAAAAAAGGGCTTTATCCCCATATTTCAAAAAGGAGAGGAATAGAGAGCCTAGCCCCACGCAAGAAGACGCATAGTAATATGGACGAGTTAGCCGGCAACCTCGGATGTTGGGGAGGAGCACAACGTCTACTAGCTATAGATTAGTAGGTCACTTTGTGTTAGCAATGACGTTTAAACAAATGACATGCTTTATAGGTTATACCTCACCAATTCTATCAACATTGTTTTTTTATTTAATTCTGTACTTTTTGTTTTTATGTACAGAGTGTTTCAAACTTGATGCTTTGGCTTTATCTAAAAACGAAAATAAAAATTTTTACTTATGTTGTCAAATGTGACTAAATAAGATGCATTTTATGCCAAAAAAATTTTCCTGAAATAGAAGTTTATGACGATATGGACAATATAATTTGTGGAAAAACAATTATTGTTTTTCTACAAATATACCCAAATTTTTTGATCATCAAAATGATTACATTTTAGAATTTTGTTGCCATCTCCATTAATTTAGAAGGTACAAACAAATATTCTCTCAAATATAAAGTCCCATTAAATGTTAAGTCTGACAAATACTCCATGCATGAGAATATCAAATGTGAAAAATTTGTTTCAGTTGACAACGCAAAAGATTAAAAAATAGATTTTTGAAAAATATAACTACACAACAAAATTATAAAATAGGTAAAATTTATACAGGGTGTTACAAATTAGTAGGCCAAGCAGTTAACCACTTATACTTTGGACTAAAATAATGGAACTTTTTTTATGATACTTTTCATTTTGGAGAAAAATGAGTTTTGTTGACATCAATTTAGTCGACGTTAAATTTTAATTTTTGGGATTTTATGAAATTTATTTTTTTATATGGTACCAATACTAACTAAACAACGGTTAAAGAAACAATTTGCACGAGGTAAAGGACACTTTAGGCTAAAACCACATATTCTGATTTGGGGCTTGCTGTCCGAAATTTGCATCTTTTTTAGATATGTTAAATTTAGCTCAAATTATATATTGCTAATCATGATAATGATCATTTTCATTTTATTCAGTAAATTAAAATACATAAGACGTCTCAAATCTCTTATATAGTCCCAAAAAATAAAGTCTAACATCGACTAAATTCTCGACCAAATCGATGTCGTGTATATAAAAAAGTTACAATATCTCGGAAACGAGGCCCCAAATAAAAATCTAGAGTAAAAAAAATAGAATAAAATGTCACTTTATCTAAGAAAAATATTCGAAAAATTGGGGGTCGTTGGATACTGCAACTTCCTTCCCCTTCGGTCGCGCTTTGAGATTTTAAATCAAAATTACACAAAAAGGGTGCCGACTTAAGATCAAAATATGTGCGAAATTTCAAATAAATACATATCTTTACAATCACCGGAGTTATCGATAAAAATCATTTTTTAAATTTTAATTTTGACACTATTTTGAAAATAGGGCTCCGAAATGAAAAGTGGCATAAGAAAAGTCTCATTATTTTAGTCCAAAGAATATGTTGTTAACGGATTGACCTACTAATTTGTAACACCCTGTATAATACAGGATTTACATGCTATATTTTCTGTACGCCTATCCTGTTGCGAAACACATCCAGTCTTTTTCTAGCTTCTCTGTGACGTTTCTTTATGTCAAAAGATGTCCTGTGCATTTTGAATTTTTTGTGTCTTTCTTTGGGGAACGCTAAAAGAGTTTGTGTATTCCTCGCCTGTTGCATCTCAAGCAGAAAAGTGGAATCGCATTACTGATAAATGCACATTCCTTAGAAACAATCGACAGTCATTGGATAGAGTGGACTTCAATTTTCGACGAAGAATAAATTTATGCCTGAGAGATAGCAGTGATCATTTTGAACAATTTCTATAATTGTGTTATTTCTAATGTTGAAGTTGTTTCTTCTTCTATTAAATTATTCTTATTCCAACTTTTTTCCCTGATCGAAGTTTAACGTTTAAATTCATAGCCAACTTTTGAATTTTCGATAATTTTAAATAACAGCTTCAATATGTATTATTGGTTATTCGTATATTTGTTGAAAATGAAAAATTTTTTTGAATACTAACAAGAGTAAGAAAAGTTTTAGAATTAAATTCCCCAAAAAATAAAGTAATAATTTTGTAAGTCTGTCAGTGGGTTAAAATATTCTGTAACATTTTAATGGTGCTCATATCAACCCTTTAATATGCTCCAATTAAACTTTACTTACTGTCGATTAATGTTCTGGGTACACCCGCACTGCACCAAATTTGGTTTTTCTAAGTTCAAGTATAACGGAGATATTGATTTTTTTCAAAATTTGATACCCCACTTTCAAAGCCTACAACTTTTCAGGGGCGCAGCTTAGTATAAAAGTAAGTTGCGTTAAATCACCATATTTTGGGTTCCCCACATGCCCCTGTTCTGCGACGGTTCTTATGTGAAACACCATGTGCAGTGAAAATATAAGTTAGCGCTAAATAAAAAGGTTGTACTTTGTAAATATATAGAAAAAACCATTAATAAAATTGTTATGAAATTTCCTACAAGAGAATCGAAGTAATTTTGAAGCGTTCAACTGACAGGTAAGAGATTATCTAATTCCACTATAAATGTGGATGTAAGTTCTTTAAAGTACATATTACAAAACGAATTCCCAAAACTCTATCCAAATTGGTCTGATGGTTTTGGCACGAGACAATTTGTTTATTGATGTTAAAGTTAGAGATTTTAATTGGCACGGTTTTTTTTACACATACTTGGACCCCTTACTTATCATATACAATCGTTATAATATCAATTTTCCTTTTTTAAAACAACTTTTGGAGCAATTTTAAATGTTCGAAAAATTTTGACTTTATAAATAAATAATTGCGTGAAACGGTTTTGCAGGTTGGAAAACATATCAAAGTACTAATAAAAAGTTTGCTGGTTTAAAAAAATATATATATCAAAATCGGAGCCATAGAAGCTTAGATAGCTTAGCACTTTGAAGCGCTCGAGCTCATTTTAAACGCACGATTTTAAGTTCTGTAATTCATCTCCTCCCCTCCGGTTTTGCCGCTGAGATGGTCGGCGATATTCATTGAATTTTGATATGAAAAGCACATGTGCAATAATATTTACATAAACACATACGGAAAAAACTTTTTTATATTTTCATCCAAAATCCTGGAAATATTTAATTTAAGTGTAACATTCACTTGTGGAGAATGTTAAGGTTATGGGATAGTATTTTTAAATCACCTCTCATTTTATAAAAAAAAAACAATGTATTTCCTTAATTAACTACAACAGCTTAAAAAATATTTAAAACTCATATTTCTTGACATTTCAGCCGGACGTTAATATTGCAAGATGCTAATTGTGTCACGAAAAACTTAAATATATAAGGTATTTTTATTTCAGAAATATTTTTCCCATGTCCGCACAATCTACAAGTTTCCTTCGTTTCGCTATGATGTGGTTTATCTGCCATTTCTATAATCTCCGTCACTGGTCCTAAAAGCGTCCCACAAGACGTACAGATGAAAGCCTAAAATAAAAATAAATCCCATGTAATAATAAACGTTAAGCATAAAGGTAATATGTGGGGTATTTACTGAAGGTACAATCAGAGAACCGAAAAAATTAGTCAATAAATTTTTGTTAATGGCAAAGGATAAAAGTAACGTACAAGAAAAAATTGTTACTACGTTACTTCAAACAAAAAAAATATATAAATATTGTTAGATTCTAGTTTTTAAGGTGGTATATGAGAGTAAAAAATTAATTCATTTGCTCAATATATGAGTATTTTGTAACGAAGCTATAGTCAAGTCTTTTGTCATGCTTGGCAAAACATTTGCTCTGCCTGGAAAATAAATTTTAATATAACAAATAGTCATCCTATGAATTTGAGTGGCATATATAATTCTTAAAAATCACATTTTAGTCTTTTCTAAAAGAACAATCTAATGCAATGAATTTTCAAGTTGCTGAATATGTCAGCCTTATTTTTTTAACCACCTGCTATAGGTCGCTAGTTATAACCTTACCCAGAGACATGTCATATATTATAATCTTATACAAAAAGGTATAGTCTTTCCGAAGTCAGTTGAACATGTAAAAAAACGTCTGGCAATAAAATTTAAAGACTTTCAGGCGCTCCTAAAAAAGTTAAAGGTAAAAAATTATAATAAGTTGTAAATAATGTGTAGAAAATTTCTATTATATGTTCATTTGGCCAACAACATATTTTAATTATTTATGTCCTCAAACAATTTTATTATATTGATGGTAAATTTCGTTTTGTTCCGTTTCAAAAGGTCTCCAAAATGCCATGTTATAGTAACATTATTTCTCCCTTTCCCAATTGTAATATCAATGATTAATAGAAGGTGTCTATAAAAAATTAAAATTACCTGAATCACACCAAATTCCGCATTGCTGCACTGCACTGCTGGGCAATTTGTCAAGACTGGCAATAAATCTCAGCTGTTGACAACAGCTGAGATTTATTGAACAGTGGCCCAATGCAGCTGTGTTAGATTTCGTTTGCTCGCGTTCGCATTTTTCAACTGGGCGTATACATTTCTACCACCTCCACGTTTAATTCGACCAGACCTGTATATGGGTATGGTTAAATAAATATGGGAACAAGTTTTTCAAATATTTGAATGCCGAGTTGCTGCGTCAGCGACCGAACCTGGTACATACTGTCAACGTCTTGGTTCTTCAATTGATATCGGAAAGACTTATATTCTTATTGAAAAACACAATTTGGTTAATGCAAGTTAACTAACCTCCATCCCTCCATTCCTTAGTATACAGAGTATTCAGAACTAGGCTAAACTTCAAGGATAGCTTTCTTGGATAAAATTTAAAATAAGATTTAGATTAAGTTAGCATAATATAATTTTACTTCATTAAAAACTTATCAAAAAAATGTTTTACTTTAACTGATACTGACTTAAGTTTTAAAGGAACTAAAATTGTATTAAGATAATTTAATATGAATCAGTTTATTTTTAATCATGGAAGGTACTCATAAAGTATGGTGCATTTTTTTGATACCTTATATACAAGGTGAGTCAATGAAATGGCACAATTTAGAAACGCTACTACAGAAAAAGTAGAGGGGAGGCAGACTTGATCTGTCAATGTTGTAAATCTAGAGAGTGGGAAGTTAGTTATTATGGAAACTTGATCGGGTGAACAACACGCATTTGCTGTCAAAATGTATTACCAAAATGGGGAACGTTTTGTCCGTGCGAGAAGAGCGTTTCGTTTATCACTTCGCGGTAGTGTACTCTCTAACAACGCTATTCAAAAGTGGGTTAGGAACTTTGAAACCAATGGTTCAACAACACAAAAAAGAATCAATGAATACGATTACGTGCTGCAATCTTTGGATGAGTGATGGGCCCCCACTTTCACCTTAGTGGCTTCGTCGACAAACAAAATTTTCGTTATTGGTCCAACAATAACATTCAGAAATTACACGAAAGACCCCTATATTCAGAGTAGTTGAAGTGATGTGGTGAGCGGGTTCTTGGTTAGGAATAACTGGCCCTTATTTTTTTGAGAACGAAGCTGAGAACGCAGTAACTGTGAACTCTGATCGTTACGTGAATATGTTGAACAATTTTTTTTCTGGATTTACTATGACAGGCCACCTCGTTCTCCTGTATGTCCGCATGCGACTTTCCTTTGGGGGTACGTAAAAACAAAAGTGTATCAAAGTAACCCCCTCCAAGAACTATCCAAGCATTAAAAGAAAGGATTCCAGGTGAAGTGGTTGCAGTACCGCTAGAAACGCTGCACAATGTTATGGGTAGCTTTGCAACAAGACTGCAAGAATGTGTGCGACAAAATGGAGACCACCTTTCGAACATTATTTTTTAAAAATGAATGTTTGTGCACTTACACAACACATCCATTGTGTAGATTATGTTTTCATCAATAAATCTTCCAAAACATGATTTCTTGAATGTTTTCAAATTTTTTGAAATCGTCCCGTTTCACTGGCTCACCTTGTATTAAGAAGTAGAAGCTATAGTGGTTTTAAAACTTTTGTGGCCTATGCTGATATTTACAGCACAATAGTTTTTTCGGATTGTTATGCCAGGGCCTATGTGTTTGGTCGCTGCCAGCTTTCCATTTTTACGATTCGAGATCATTTCTCAGAAAATTTTGTTTGTCTAACAATCTAAGTACCGAATCGAAAAATGGCACAAACATTCTTAACAAACGTTTTTGAGTAAAACAGTGACAGAAAAAAATCATAAGCTCATCCATTTTTGTGTCATATAAAACCAGACCCTAAACTCCATCGAATTTGGTCCACCCTCTATATCTCCTGAACAAACCAAGATGAAGCAACCAAATACATTTGGTGATATTGTTTAATATGTATGTATTAGGTGAATGAATTCATTTATTTAAAATCAAAGGGAAAATTACGAACCGTTGTTTCATCCGAACAGTGCAGTAACCTGTCTTGCAATAAAAACGATGCTCCATGGCTTATCAATGAATCACGTTCCATTTCACCGAAACGAACACCACCACCTCTCCTTCTTCCTTTCAAGGGTTGCCTAGTTAAAATATCTGTCGGGCCAGTAGATCTTACCTAAAAAAATATAAAATATGAAAAAGAAAACGAACTATTTAAACTTTTATGGTGCAACGTTTGCATCAGTCCATTATGCTTTCTAACCTGCCACTTGTCCGAAACCATATGCCTTAGTCTCTGGTAGTGTACAACACCAAAGAAGATCTGTGCGGTCATTTCTCGACCATCAATGCCAGAATACATAGTTTCAGTCCCGTAGTAATTATAACCACCCTGTTCTAAAAGCCTACCAAAATAATCTATAGCCGTATCTTCTTCAGTAAATCTAAAGGGAGTGGCATCGTGCACGAGACCATGCAAGGCAGCCGATTTCCCTGCCATTATTTCGATCATCATAGCAATGGTCATACGAGACGGGAAACCATGAGGATTAAACACAATGTCGGGAACCAGTCCTAAAAATAAAAAATTTAAACAAATTCACCTTTATATCTTACCTTATCCAGGGTGTTCGGTAGCTAAAGGGCCATACCTTGACAGTAGCGGTCTTGGATTAAAATAGACTGATTTTACTAAATATACCTTAGTGGCAAAAGTTGATGACAAACGTGATACAATGTCTGAAAATTTTTATCTTCAGTTTTTTTTATCACTTTTAAAGGACTTGAATTTTTTTGTACTTTGTTTACTCTGTTGTGTGAAAACGTGGAATGGTAGCCTACAACACAGTGGTCTTGTGACTCATTGTGCATGCTGCTGTAGTAGGATCATATTCGATGCAAAGTAATAAATAATTGCCTGTCAAGGGATCTAGTGCAGTACGGTTTTAAGGGGTTTAGAAATTGAATAATTTCATTATGCATTATGAAGGGATGAAGGGATCAGTTCACATCTGGCACCCCTGTTCCTACAAAAATTTGTTTATTCTCATAAACTATTTATTTTAAATGTAATTTATCATAAATCCAATTTGTTTTTTAAATTCCACATATGTATTACATTTTACCTCTGTTTTTTACTTGTTTTTTGTGGGTGGTCTCTGATTTACGACCAAGTGTGCCATGTTAATATTTGACGTATAATCGACCACTTCGTACACTCGAAGCACCTGGGCGACTACAGCAACTACCAGAACACAACCCGTATGATGCAGTATTTCAGATATTACAATTTCATTTAAAATTTGAAATGGTTTATCTTACACATCCTAAAAATGATGACACGATTTTCCTTTGATAAAAGGCCGACAATTTTTTGCTCTACTTTGCATCGAATACGGTTCTACTATAGTAAGAGTTTTATAAAATAAACCTACGCTGCTAGAACCTCTTTGATGTCCTGAGGTGACATACAAACGCTCCCACCCCCCAGGACGTGTCCACACAATCTACATCTCATGTTAGTACTCAGCACAATTCTTTTGACGTACTTATTAAAATGTTCATGACCAGTTAAAAGTCCTGTGAAATCCAATTGTTGCTTCTACTCAGCATGCTCATTTTCCAATTTGTTCGAGCCCATGGGCCCTTTATAAGAAGTTTGGTCTTAAGCAAAACTAGGTCCGCATACCAATTTTTCTGTTAATTGTTTTTTTGATCCAAGTGTCAATGGATCTTGTCATATAATAATGTGGTAAACAGATCACTGGTTCTGGTTCCACAAATCGACTAGCCCTGTCTGGCCAACATGTCGGTCCTTTCATTGCCATTCACACTGTTGTAACCAGAAACCCAAATTAGCTTCACACGATTTTCCGGTCCCAACAAGGACAAAGCATTGACCCACTTCAAAACTGCACAGGAGCTGATAATTCTGTCGGACAAAAGTGTGTATAAAACTGCCATATTGCCTGTAAGGGAGTAGTTTCGGAAGTGACAGGAAAGCCTTTAGGTCATCTGTGGGAGTTGTGCTTAATGCTCCTATTGTGGTGACACATGTCAGTTGTCGTAGTTTGTCCAAGCGCATTGCAGGCCATCATACCATAGATGCATAAGTGCTTTCAGGATCTAATAAAAGCAGTGTAAAGCCACAAGGTAGCTTTAGGGTTAAACTTCATTCCAATGACAAACCTTTAGTGTGTCGACTCCACAATTACTTTCTGGATACACATATCACAGGCCATAAATGTCAATCTTTGACATTTAATTTTGACACTTCAGCAGTTTACATTATCCACATTTCAGGAATCTAATCTAATTTACATTTTTTTTATCTACCCTCTTAAAACTCTAAAATATATACCGTTTACTTCATTCCTAGTCCATACAAAGTAGTTATATCTAAATTTTTCATGTACAATCGCACTTTTGAAGAAACTGAGCTAACGTCATCAACACATTAGTGATAACCTTCTGATATTTTACGTCATTTTAAAATTTTTAATTTATAAATTTTAAAATAACATGAACCTAAACACAAACATACAACTCACCAGGTTATTGACATTTGTTATAACTTATAAGAAATGTCAATATAATTTAAACAATTGAGACAATTTGTCAAAAGTCCTGTAGTGTGCCGTCATAGACAGTGACTTACTGAAACAGGCCAATGGAACAGACCGAAAATAACACAAGTGCTAAGATTTATCAGATGATTGTTAAGCTGAAATAGTCTAATTTGATTCAAGGAAACTACTGTCAAAGTAAAAATTTATGGCAGAACTTTACATTCAACTAATCAGCTGCCCTGATACAACCAACATAAGCTTGAATTTAAAGCAATAAAAACTCACCCGTCTCCGTAAACGGCAAATCCTCAGCAGGCCACTTCTGGGAACAAATACCTTTCTGGCCAGCCCTACTAGCAAACTTATCACCCACACTGGGATTACGCTGAAAATATAAAGCTATGTAAAAATTGTTTATGATACCTCAAACAATACATACTGGAACTCTGTATGTTAAGCAAGCTATTTTGCAAGGACTTTTAACTTCTACTCTTCCACACAATTTCACACTGTGCAAATAACACTCTTCCTTGCCTTTAACCATCTTTACTACATATGTGGACTTGTCACAATCATAAAAACAGTATAAAGGCTCGTCATTAGATATCTTCCTTCCTACATATGGCAAGCCATCAGAATCCATGTACTGAGATAAATTTTTGGCATCAGGATCTCTAGCAAAGTAAGAAGTGGGATGATCTAACTCGATAAATTCTGATTTGTATATCGAACCGTGTGCTAAACCACGTTCTTCGGACGCTTTATTAATTATCATAGCGTCTTCCATATCATAACCCTATAAATTTCATTAAAGAAATATGCGGATACAGACTGAACATACATTATGCAACAATAGTACTTACAGTGTAACTGATTACGGCAACAATGGCATTCGTTCCCATTGCAAAATCATCCAAAAAAATGTTATCGTGATGGACAGGTCTGAAAAGAGGAGTGCTTGGTGTTTGTAATCTATACAGTTTAGTCTCAGACTGCAAATCCCAATTATGACAAGGTGTTCCCATTGTTTGTTTACCCATCTGACACTGGTACATGTTACGTGGTGACTGATTACAATCTGGCATCGGGATAAGTTGTGCTAAATTTGAAAGGAAAGCTGTTTTGGACAGTTCCATATGAGTTGTAACTCCTACAAAAAAAGCGTAATTTGTTGAATAAAATAAATGTAACGTAAATTTTTTATTACTACACTCCATATGTTGATTATATAAAATGTTTACAAAATAGCATTTTTAATTTATGTATTATTTGTCATAACTAAAGCTTCAAATTTGCTCTTTTTCGGATAAAAATAGTGAAACTGACGGAAAAAATATTAAGAGAATTATATTTAGTTTTGTTAAAATAGAATCAAAAAGATTATTTCTACAAAAATTTTTGTACGATAAGCCAAATGATTTCTTCAAATGATGAAATTTTTAGTAATGAGTTGAAATTCATAAAAAATGTACTAATAAACAATCCATACTCTGATAATAAAAAATTCCATATATGCGTGTATTATCAGAAAAATTAAGGAGAATACATAATAAATTTAACAGTTAGGTTAAACTAACCCACGACATCCTTCTTACGCTAGGGCTTATTTAATTAATTTCTTAAATTTTTCACAGATAGAAAATATCCAATAAATAAGAAAAAAATGTTTAGTCCCCAATATAAGTACACATTATCTAAAAAATAAATTATAAAGGCAAGATACAATGCAATTTCCTTATTTTTAATTTTAATTTAAATTTTTTTATTTTTACTAAGCTAACAGGTAAATTCAAATTGTTTTTCTTAAATGCTGGTATTACAATAGGATGCAATTTTTTTTAAAGATCTTTTTATGTAGCTCTGCAAAATCTCGTATCTTGACCTATGTAAAGCCTTTGATGTTGTAGATCATCAAATTCTTCTCAAAAAAATTGGAACAACTTGGAATAGAAGGACCAGCTCATCATTTATTTACTAACTACTTAACAAACAGAATTCAAATGACAGTTGTGAACGGAGTGGAAAGTGAGAAACTCTTGGTAAAAAGT